TCTGGATCATGGGACCCTTCACATCCCAGTCTCTGCCTGTCTTTTCGTTCAATTCAATACAATTCAACTCAATTCAATTGCATTCCACAAGCAGCCCCTGGTGCCTTCCATATGCTGGGCCAAGCTGCAGATATGAAATCTAAGGACCTCAGCTCACAAGAGGGATACATGAGTAAGCATGCATACAATGCAGTGTGATGGGCATAGGAGCACAGGAGGCCTTGGAGACTTTATCAATTAGTGGTGGAATTCCTGCAGGGAATTAGTGCAAAGCCAGGGCCACAGCTAAATCTCCAGCTCCAGGGTTCTTTCCCCGACTCAGTGCAGTCTGGCCAAAGAGAGTCTGTCCTGCAGAAGAATGAAAAACCACCAAACCAAAACAAAAAGAAGAGACATGAGATAATCCATGGTTAAAATACAAATTAAGCATGAAAATGCAAAACCCATAAAAGCTACTGTAGGGACACTACACCACAGTGAGACAAGATCATTCAAACACTGCATTTATAAGATGGAAACACAGGGAGATGGGTCACACTCAAGATGAGCCCTGATGAAAGTCTGTGACTCATCTCCTTTGGTCAAGTAACATGGATCCAAGATAACTTCCTTTCAGGGGCTTGGGCATTTCCACAGCTTGGGCTGGGACAAAATGGTTACCTATGCCTTTCTATTCTGATATCTATGAAAAATGAGAAGAAAATTACATTAAAAGTGTAATGAATAGGGGCGCCTGGGTGGCTTAGTCGGTTAAGCGTCTGACTTTCACTTAGGTCATGATCTCGCAGTTTTTGGGTTCGAACCCCGCGTCGGGCTCTGTGCTGACTGCCAGCTCAGAGCCTGGAGCCTGTTTCAGAGTCTGTGACTCCCTCTCTCTCTGACCCTCCCCTGTTCATGCTGTCTCTCTCTATCCTAGAAATAAAAATATTTTTTAAAAAAAGTGTAATGAATAAAATGCACATGCAAAAGGCTTGAATTTATTTCAAAGAACGAAGAAAGTAAATTTGAGGAGACATTAATGATTTCCAAGAGAATTCTGAGAGGAGGGTGGGAAGGTGTCCTCTCAAACGTAAGGCAGAGAACATCAGAGGAAAAGAAGATTCTAAGAGATTACCCAGTATTCTCTGCCCACAAGGGACAGCAAGCCTTTCAATCCACAAGACGTATTGGCTACGTTGGTGTTTTTAAATGGCAGGCTTTGGAGTCAGTTAAGAAAGCAATTCAGTGAGTCATGACGTCAATTTCCTTTTAAATGAAAGAATGGAATCTAATAGAAAACACCAGTTTGCTCAATAGGCAAGAGTAAGCACTGAGGGTGAGGGTGTGTGTGTGTGTGTGTGTCTGCGTGTGTTGTGTGTTCACGACATAATACACCATTTCATGTGGTGAGTTGAATCAAAAAAGTCTGAAAAACGCTCTTCTAGAAAACTTTTCTAGGGTTCTATATTTAACACATACTAAACATACTCAGGGATATAGACCCTTTTCTCCGTTTTTGTGCTAAAATTAAACAGAGAATATTAGAACTGGAAGAAACAAATTAACAGCATGCAAATGAGTGAACTGATAACAAGATGGGTAGAGACAACTGAATGAGACAGAGGAGCTTCGAGCTTTTTCTAAAGCCTTCTGCTTTGTGATAGACAACTAAGGATTCCTGGCTATTTCTTTTCCTTATTGGAGCACTAGATACAGTACCTGCTCAATAATTACTTGTCCAGTGACCCTCTAGAAGTGGTAACACTTATCAAGCAGTGTGATTGATGCTTTTTCAATAATGTCAGTCTCCTGCACTTACAGAAGCTCCTTGAAGGCTGGGCTAATGTGTGGTCCACTGATAACCCCAGTTCTATGACAGTGCCTGGTAAGTAGTAGGTGTTCAATAAATTGTGGTTGGATTGAACTAAAATGCATCAAAAGGCATCAAGATCCAGTTCTAATAACCATTTGTCACCTGAACCCCCTTTGCAAGAAAAAATCAATTTCAGTAAATTGAGCAAAAGATATCCTAAGTGCGGAAAAAGCAACAATAACAACAAAACTCTGAACTTAAGTTTCCAGGGAGCAAATCGCTCTTGGCCCAGAGGTCTTATAGAGTAAGAGCTTCTTGAAATATTACAAGCTTTTTAGGATGTCAAGCTTGGACCTACTTTTTGGATCTCATCTGGCTCCTGGGGACACAAAGAAGATGTTCCTTCCAGTCTGGACACCTTCCTGGCAACAACCACAGTGAATCTGAAGCAGCTGAGTTATTGCAGAGGTCGTGTCCACAATGCTAACTGGAGTGGTCAGTATGCTCAGAGGGCCGGAGACAGAGGGCTGGATTTGGAGAAGCAGTCAACCACCAAGTAAATCAACAGTGGAGCAAGGCCTGGTTTGCTTCCCTACAAGAAGCCCCAGCTGAGCAGAAATGAGACCCAGTTGGGAAGTAGTCATTTGCCTTCCTTAACTCCTCCGTAGCTGCCTTGTCTCCACGTCTCAGAGTCCAACCCCAACTCCTAATATGCAGCTGTTAGAGGTGGGTCATTAAGGATGTTCTGCATATGAGGATATAAGTGGGGGGACAGTGTTGATCACCAGGGTAGATTCCTTGGAAAGGAAGAGGGTGAGTTCTTACCTAGGAGGATCAGTGAAAGATGCCCTTAACCAAAGGATCAATTCAAATTCAAATTCAATTTCAATTGCAACTCAAAGGAGAGCTCACTAGCCACCACTCTTCTTCTCAGCCAGGTGAATATCCCAATAGTAATTACCAATGTAAAGACCTCTTTATCAAGGACACGGATGAATATTAAAGGCAGGGATAAATGGGATAAATGGCCTGTCCCTGCTGCCATCCCAAAACAATGGCCCTACCCTATCATGTGTTCTGTTTCTATACACAGTCAAATCTTAGTTCTATGTGGATGAGAAAGGCAAGGAACAGAGTAACCCTGTCTGCAGAACTCAATGGAGAGCAGGAATCCAGACCCTGATTTTAGTACCAAAAAAAAAAAAAAGTTTCAACCTCCACCCCATACCTAGTCTCTATTCCGGGCTCCCTCTGGCCATCTGCCAGCTCAAGCTAAAGGAATATAAATCATCCTTGGGTTAACCTGAGCAGAATGTAATCAAGGGGGCAAGTTGGCTTGAGGCCAGAGGAGCAAGAGGAAGGCTGTATATCATGCACTCCAAAATAAGCAGGAATAAAGTTTGGGCTATGTATATGTATATGTATATGTATATGTATATGTATATGTATATGTATATGTATATGTATATGTATATATGTATATATATATGAATACTATGTATTCTTAGATACTTAATTTGAATCTCACTTCTAACATCCATTTAACTTAACCTCTCCCTGCCTCAGTTTCCTAAGAAATCATATGTAAAGGATAAAATATGTCCATGATGTCTAGTAGTACCTGGCAATTTAATGGGCCAGCAATCTACATAAATTATTGTGAGGATTACAGTATTGCCAAATGGATTAGAGTAAAGGTTTTGGGCTCAGAGGGACTCCAAGATGCTGGCTCCATGGTCCTCATCCACTGTGAGGCCTTGGGAAAGTTCCCTAACCTCTCTGGGCCTTCACTATCTCACTTACAAAATGGGGATAATAGGGCACCTTGGTGGCTCAGTTGGTTAAGTGTCCTAGTCTTGATCTTAGTTCAGATCGTGATCTCACAGTTCAAGGGATTGAGCCCCTAGTCTGGCCATGTGCTGACAGAGTGGAGACTGTTTCGGATTCTCTCTCTCCCTCTCTCTCCCTCTCAAATAAACAAACATTTTTTAAAAATGGGGATAATAAAATCACTTCATAGCATTACCATAAGGCTAAAATGAGAATACATATGTAAAATGCCTACACGGACTAGATGACAGTAAATGACGGCTATTACTATGATGGCTTATTCCTTTGGAAAGGTGTACATGCCCCCAGTAAAGAGCTGCTGTGTAGCTACCTCAGGCAATCAGATGAATCCCTCAAAGGTCACTGATGCTCAAAATGCCAAAATACCAACATGTCTCCCCATGACACCACTCCTCATCCTATATCCCCTAGTACAGTGTGTGGCACACTGGCTTCCTTGTCAGCCAAGTGAGAAATCCCACAGTCCCCATCCACTCTTCCCTCTCCCCCCACAGCAAATCCACCATCCGTTGATTCTACTTCTTAAACGAGTCAACTCCATTTGCTTCTCTGCACGTGCCCACCACTATGTTAGTTCAGGGCACCATCAACCTGCCCCTGGATAGCATGTCTCCAACCTCATCTCCCTGTCCCAGCCATCCCCCCTTCAGTCACTCCCCAAGCAGCAACAATAGCCATCTTTCTACTGTTCAAATCTGACGGTGCCTTTTTCCTGCTTTAAACCCCTTCACTGGCTCCCTGAAATAAAGCCCAAATCCCTTAACATGGCTTCCAGAGCCTGCCATGATCTGCCCAAGGCTTCACTCCCTCCCGGGCTCATCTCTCCCCATGGCTCTCCTTGTTTTGTGTGCTGCAGCCAGGCTGAAGGGGAAATACTTGCAGTTCTACAAATGAATCATGCCCCCTCTCTACAGGGGGCTCTCTCTCTCAAGACAGAGTGTGTTTTCCCCTCTGCTTAGCACACTCCTTTGTCCCTTCTCCTCTCCAGTCTTTAGGTTTCAGTTTAGGTATCATTTCTTCCAGAAAGCCTTCCTGACACTGGGATACTGAGTTAGATACCTGTTACACTGTATGCAGGCGTCTGCTCATTTGCTCATCTCCCTCAGCAGCCTGGGAGCCCCTTGAAGACAAAACCCATTTTTGTCATTGAAATACTCCAAGTGCCTAAGACAGTGACTGGCACAAAAAAAAAAAAACAGGCACTGAAATATTTGTCTGTTGAATAGAGGACAGCAACTGGCCTTGCCCTGAGGAGCAATCTCTCCCTGGCTGAAGGCAGCAGTGGCATTGAGCTGCCCAGTAGCTAAGCCAACCCTGGGAACTGGAGGTATACATCCAACAAAAGCAACACACCTACCTAGAATAGCCACCACCTCGTCATCCTGGATCACCTCCAGGGAGCCGGAGACCACGAAGCAGAGGCTGTCAACACTCTCTCCTGCATGGTAGATAAGGTCCCCCGGGGCGCAGTGCACTGTCTGAAACTCCATGGCCAGTGCCCGCAGGCAGCCGTCGCTGGCCAGCCGGAAAGCTGGGTGCTCCTTGAACACCTTGCGATTCAGGTGCACGCAGATGTCAGCTCTCATGTCCTTGGGGCATATCTGCAAAACCTGGCCGGGCACAGGAACAAACAGCGTCAGGGTCCTGCCTGTGGTCTCCGGCCCATTGCCCCTCAGGACCCCAGGAGCAGAAGTAACCCCCAGCAGGCTAGACTGCGCTCTTCAAGGCACTGGTGGACAGGACAGCCACAGTCCCTGTGCTCGTGAAGCTTACATTCTTGTGGGAGAGATATGCGGTAACCACAAAAATCTGTGCTATATGCTCAGAACAAAGGCCGGAGAGTCAGTGCTAGGAGTCCATGGGACTCTTTACTTTATTTAAAGACATTTTTTAAATGTTTATTTACCTTTGAGAGAGAGAGAGAGACAGAGTGAGACAGGGAGGGGCAGAGAGAGGGGGAGACATAGAATTGGAAGCAGGATCTAGGCTCTGAGCTGTCAGCACAGAGCCCAACGGGGCTCAAACTCACGACTGTGAGATCATGACCTGAGCAAAAGTCAGATGCTTAACAGACTGAGCCACCCAGGAGCCCCTACATGGGACACTTTAGATCCATATTTGGGTAAGGCTTCTCTGAGGAGGGGACATTTAAGCTGACACTTGCAACATATGTCAGAGGAAGCCATGTGAAAGAGAACATTTCAGCAGAAAGGCAAAGGCTTTTGCCTTTGTGAAAGAGGGACAAGGGGTAGGAGATGAGATTTTGGGAAAACACCAAGTGTGCACGAAGAGACTTTAGGTTATGAAAAAAGCCTTTGATTTTATTCTGAGTGTGATGTGGACACACTGGAGGATTCTTATGACACACGGGGGAGTGACAAGATATATTTTAAGAAGACCGTCGCAGCTACAGGGTGGACTTAGAGGGCCCTGACCACGAGGTGGTAAGGATGGGGCCAAGGAATTGAGTTAGGTCACTGCTGCAGGCGTCCCGGTGAGAAGTGAGGAGAGCCGAACTGGGGTGCTGGCTGGGGAGTCAGTGAGCAGTGGTCCAATTCAGAGTGTATTTTGTAGACAGAGCTGACACTACTGATGGACTGATATGGGTGTGGGCTTAGAGAGATAAAGTAATTTTAGAGAGATAAAGTAATTCATTTGTGCAAGGCATTGCTAAGTTCTTTAATGTCACTCATCCATTTCATACTTATTTATTGAACACTTATTATATGCCAAGAATCATTCTAGGCTCTGAGGATGTAGTGGTGAATGACACAGACAAAAATCCTTGCCCTTGTGTAAATTACCGCCTAGTGAGAAGAGACAAATAATAAGCAAAATAAGTAAAATCCAGCAACAATTTTACATTTTTAAGTGTTACATGCACTTAGTAACTAATTTAATCCTCACATGACCCAATGATGTGACTGCTAGTATTGTATCATCTTACAGATAAGGAAACTGAGGCACAGGGGACATAAGTAACCTCCCCAAAGTTACATAGCCAGAAAATGGCAGAGCTGGGCTCTCCAATTAGGTAGTCTGAGTCCACAGCCTAGTTTAGATACTAACCACTCTCTACATCAAGTGGCTGCCCCAACTAAATGCACTTGTAATTTGACTCTCAGCATCTAGAAACTCAAGCCAAAAGGGGAAATGTAAGAGGTCATGTCAGTCTTCTATTTTGAGAAAGGAAAATTTCTCAGCCTTTTCTAATGGGAGAAATAGTTCCCTGGACCAAATTTTTGAAGAAACCACTGCATGGCCCCTCACACAGCAAGCATTAAGAAACACAATAGGACACCTTCAAATGGACTCTTCCAGAGAAATTACAAGCGTTCTTAAAATAATCCCGTCTCCCATCCTAGCCTAGTGCACAAAGCTGGAGGCATAAAAATCAAACACATTCAGTGAAGACATTGCCTTGGGGTGCTGGTTACTCCTACACCCCTGCTTCCCTGCCTTCTCTGCACCTATGTGCCTCTGTGGCTGAGCTCACCTTGGAATCTGGAAGTCTCTGGAAGCTTCTCAGCCTCCTTCAAAACTCTGCCCAAGTCTCCCCTTGCCAGTGACAGCTTGGCTCATACCCTAACCCTGTCAGGTGCACCTGCACTCTGCACAGAAGGGAGGCAGTGGACAGAGGTGGTCAAACAGTTGAAATCCCAGCTCCTTCCCCTCCAAGTGACCTAACTGCTCTACCCTTCAGTTTCTCCCATAAAATGCACCCTGTGCTCACAATGGCTTGTGAGGATTAAATGAAATTACATCTACTATAATTATACTATTTCCCAGGGGTAGTGTGGGACCCAGGAAGGGGCCCCATATATACTCTGTGCGCCTCTTCCTTCTTGCTCTTGGGTGGCTGGATGCTGAGAAAGCAAGCAGGGTCTCTGAGAGATGGGGATGGAGCACAGACTGAGGCAGTGGAAAATTCAGACTGCCAAGGCTTAGAAGGAGCGCTTGCTAAGTATTTCCCTCCTTGAGGCTCATTAAAAACAAGACTCCTGTTGAAATGCAGATTTAATTTGGATCCTCTTTTCCCCAAGCAGAACACCAGGGAGTGAAGAATACTCGCATGTCATGTCAAAACTGTGCTCAGGAGTTCAAAACTAAGATTTATTCTTCTCAGTGAGTTCACCTGTAAATATTTGGTTCCCCCTGGGCTGGGCTTTGCTGGCAGAAGCTGTGAGTGAAAGAGGCCTTGGAATAGAGACAATGTTTTATTCATGAGCACTGTTCCCAGAGTCACTGGAAAGTATGTGTGACGAGGAGAGGGAACCTGGGGGTAGAGAAATCCGGACCACCATGGCCATCAGATTATCTCCATCATTCTTCTGTTGTCTCTACACTGGGCAGGTTAGGAGGTCCTGAATCCTCCTCTCTGGGCTGAATGCTTCTCAGCTGGAGACTCCTTCCTGGGCACCTTCCTTTCTCCTGAAGAGAGACCAACCCTGCTGGCTCCTGAGGGCCTCAAAGGCTGCAGGGAAGTGTTGCCATAGAGGCTCACAGACCCTCCCCAGGCTGGACAGGACAGATACATGGTTGAGAGAACAGGCTTTAAGGTCAGGCAGACCTGGATTCAATTCCTGACTTTAACAGTTAACTATCCATGTGAACTTGAAGTAATACTTAGCTTCTTTTCCCAAGTCTTCATTTTTGAACATGAGTAAAAAATTCTTCTAAAGATACCACGAACTTGTGTGGAAAGTCCCGGTACAATGCCCGGCACACACACGGGCTCAGGGCATGTGAGCTCTCATTTCTGATGTTGTTACCACAGCAGAGCAATGGGTCAGCCTGAGGGAGGCTTTGAAGTCCAGAAGGTCATTGCCAAAGGGGCCTGCCTTAGAGGTTGGCCTTAGTATTAAAAGGCACCTAGTTTCATGTGTTACAGACATGGAAACCGAAGCTCAGAGGGACAGGTGACTTGTTCTCGGTCACCAGCTAATTACTGGTCAAACGAGAGGAGCCCGGCACTGCCACCCTCCCACCTCCCACACACACATACCCCTAGGCTCTCGTGGTCATCACTGACCATTCTGACCCAGGATGCAGGGGAGGGGAACCAGGGACAGGCTTGGGACCACAAGACTGGACCCCTCCCCAACAACTGTCCACCAAAACAACTGTCCACTTCCTGGCAGGGGTACTCAGGCCAGGCTGGGCTCTGCAGTGAGTTGCCTCAGTATTTCCCCTTCCGCTCGGATCAGGACCTGCCGCAAATCGCAAAGCCTCCCAGGAAAGGGAGTTGGCAGGGAAGGGCAAGGAAGACTAACGCTGACTAGGCGCCATCTCCCATGGGCAGCCGCCCAACCCAGCCCTGCAGTCAGGTGGGGAAGGGCTTCTTTCCAGACAACCAGATTTACAGAGCCATTCTGGCCCCTGGGAAAGGAGCCCCAGGGCTGAGAGATCAAAGTTCCTTTCTGCTCCATCAGCTGCCAGGCACCCACAGAACGTACGTGCCTCACTGAATGAAGCAAAAACAACAGGGGCGGTTAGGGCAGGTGGTTGGCAAAGCCAGAGACTAAGACCCACCCAACCGATGGCCTGCCTGGGTGAGAAATGAGGGCAACTTCATCTGAACTCTTCTTCTCATCCTTCTTCCCTCCATTACAGTTTTAAATTTAAAAAAAAAAAGTAGAAAAAAAATAAAATGAGGGGCGCCTGGGTGGCTTAGTCGGTTAAGCGTCCGACTTTCACTTAGGTCATGATCTCACGGTTCGTGGGTTCGAGCCCCGCGTCGGGCTCTGTGCTGACTGCCAGCTCAGAGCCTGGAGCCTGTTTCAGAGTCTGTAACTCCCTCTCTCTCTGACCCTCCCCTGCTCACGCTGTCTCTCTCTCTCCTAGAAATAAATTAAAAAAAAAAAACATTAAAAAAAAAATAAAGAAAAAAAATAAAATGAGCTTTACAGTTCAAAAAAAAAAAAAAGTAGAAAAAGCTTCCAAATCAGACAAAAACTGTATTCAAATTCTGACTTTGCCATTCTTAACTCTATGACCAGAGGCAGTTAACAAGACTAATTGGGCCTCTGTGTCCTCATCTCTTGGGTAGAAATAACAGTAGCTCCCTCCCAGAGTTGCTATAGAGCATAACTGATGCACAAATGCAGGGCCAGACACATGGGAAGTGCGGTAGATATTTGTTGTTCTTTTTTTCCTTTTTATTTTAAAAAATTTTTTGTTTTATTTATTTCTGAGAGAGAGACACAGACAGAGACAGCGAGCAAGCAGGGGAGGGTCAGAGAGAGAGGGGGACACAGAATCTGAAACAGGCTCCAGGCTCTGAGCTATCAGCACAGAAACGGACACGGGGCTCAAACCCACAAACCGCGAGATCATGGCCTGAGCCAAAGTCGGACGCTTAACCGACTGAGCCACCCAGGCACTACACTTTTTTTCTTTTTAAAGGTAGGCTTCACTCTCAGTACAGAGCCCAACATGGGGCTTAAACTCGTGACTGAGATCAGGGCCTGACTTGAGATCAAGAGTCAGATGCTTAACCATTGGACTTTGGCTCAGGTTATGATCTCATGGTTCACAGGTTTGAGTCCCATGTCAGGATTTGTGCTGACAGCTCAGAGCCTGGACTCTGCTTCACATTCTGTGTCTCCCTCTCTGCCCCTCCCCTGCTTGTCCCCTGTCTCTCAGAAATGAATAACTGTTAAAAAATATTTAAAACAAAAAAGCTGGATGCTAAGCTAACTGAACTACCCAGGTGCCCCAGTATCTTTTCTTTTTTTTAAATTTTTTAAAAATGTTTTTAATATTTATTTTTGAGACAGAGAGAGACAGTGCACGAGCGGTGGAGGGGCAGAGAGAGAGGGAGACAGAATCCAAAGCAGGCTCCAGGCTCTAAGCCGTCAGCACAGAGTCTGATGCGGGGCTCGAACTCAACTGCAAGATCATGACCTGAGCCAAAGTCGGACGTTCAACAGACTGAGCCACCCAGGTGCCCCATAAGTATCTTTTCTTAACGTGTGTTCAAGACATGGTGGTAGCTGATGCTATGGTGGTGTGCTTATTATGTTACTGTTGTGATTATGGCAGATCTTCAACAAAACTGAATGATCTTTCCTTTTAAGTTGGAATCCGTAAAATTGAGTTCAAATTTTCCTTTAAAACCGTCAACTTTCAACTAACTATTCTAACTGAGGAAGAATAGGAGCAAGGATAGCTGTTCCAAAGCCAGCTGAATTTGGCTTTAAATTTGTTATATTTCTGCAATAACATTATCTTTCTGTTTTTCTTATTCCAACAGTGAAAGGAGTCCGAATTCCCTGAGTACTTAGAGATTGGCCGTGAAAGGAGAAGTGTGGCTGGAAACACTCAGAAGCAGAGAAAAATGGATGCAGGATTACATTTTTGCTTATAGAAAATATACACAGGAGATAATTCCTAAATGAATAGAAACCCTCTGTACCTTTTCTCTATTCTTCCCAGCCACCAAATTTTCTTCACTCTATTGAAATGCATCTAGAATAATGCAACTCTTAGAGAATAATAGGGATTTATTGCTGTTTCCATTTTACAGATGGGAAAACGGATACCTTAGCCTTAGAGAGATTTTTTAAACTTATTTATTTAAATACTTATTTTTTTACAAATAGTTTATTGTCAAGTTTGTTTCCATATAACACCCCATGCTCATCCCCACAAGTGCCCTCCTTCATGCCCATATCCCCTCCCCCTCAACACCCATCAGTCCTTAGTTTGTTTTCAGCATTCAAGAGTCTCTCATGGTTTGCCCCCCTCCCTTTCCCCAACTATTTCCCCCCTTCTTCTCCCCCTTGGTCCTCCTTTAAGTTCCTCCTAATCCTTCTATACGTGCAAACATATGGTAGCTGTCCTTCTCTGCCTGACTTATTTCGCTCAGCATAACACCCTCAAGGTCCATCCATGTTGCTACACATGAATAAACTCAAAATGGATAAAGGACCTGAATGTGAGACAGGAAACCATCAAAACCCTAGAGGAGAAAGGAGGAAACAACCTCCTTGACCTCCATCACAGCAATTTCTTACTTGACACATCCCCAAAAGCAAAAGAATCAAGAGCCTTAGAGAGATTTCTAACTGATGTGAATAAAGATAGAATCAGTGACAGCGCTGTGCCATCTTGGAGCCCAAGGTCATCCAGATGACCTCACTCTGGACGGTCCTGAGTCTCATCATCATGTAAGTTAGTCTTCTAGCTCCTCTCTTCTTTAGGAGATACATGCGGTCTTTCTAGTATCTTAAATAAAGGCTCTGAATCTCTTAATTGCTGGTCCTTGAGCAAAGCTGAGCTGGAAGCCATCAAAACCTCTGGAGGTACGATGTGGGAACCCCAAGCTACCCAACATTCTGATGCACAGCCAGGTTTGAGAACCACTGCCCTAGGAGAGCCTCAGGTCTCCCTGGGAAAGCCGACACACAGGGCCTACCTGAACTTGTCCTCCTTACCTTCTCTGTATCGATGCCTCTGGACATGGACCAGGTGGACACGATATAATCCATGACTCGCTCACTCAAGCCCTTTGGCACCTGGTAGAGCTTCAGGAAGTCCCGAACACTGTTGAGCATCTCATGGTACCGGTTGGTGTTGGCATACATCTGCTGGAAAATGGTTGTCACGTTCCCGAAGATGGTGGCATAGAGAAGTGCTTAAGCAGGAAGAGAAGGAGAGACAACACATTAGTGGTCCTTGAATCAGGGCCCAAGAATGCTCAACTTTCCCAGAGCAGGCCAATGGCCAGAGCTGCCCTCCCCAGGGCAGACTGTCCTGACCTTTGCAGAAGAAACTTGAAAAGTTTGAGCCATGCCTGAAGCTACCAATCAAATACATTATTCTGATTAAGTCCAATTCCTAACCTATTGGCAAAGTAATTTTTTTCAAGCCCCACTATGTGCCAAGTACTACACTACCTGCCAAGGGCAGGATAGTGAAGGAGGCATTCAGTCCTCGCTTTCACACAGGAAATGGTGGAGTGGAAAGACACACCCTGAATCCATTATCACGAATAACTAAATAATAGCAAGTCTGCCAAGTACGATGAAGGATGTTATTTATATCTTTGCTTCACACTTATTGTTAAGGTACATGTAAATACAACAATTGACTGTGATGTGGCTCCTGGGGAAAATAGCATGGCTTTAATATAGCAAAAATAAAATCAGGTCTTCTCTGAGATATAACAAGTACATAGTATGTGTTCTTACTGTTCCCCCTACATTAGTATCAGGAAGGAGGACCATTACATCATCATTAAACCCCACCTTGTATCTCTTACTCCCATTTGCCCTTGAAGGCTGAGCTCAAGTGCCACCACTTCTAGGAAGCCTCCCCGTGAAGGTGACCATGACTCCCTAGGCATATTTCTATACAGCTTGAAATGGTATACAAACCATTTTGCAACTATATGCTTCTTTCTCTGTTTGTGCCTGTATGGGTTGAAGGCTGGACCCATCTTTTCCTTGCCATTGTATCCCTGGGAGCTAACACTATACTAGTACCCAATAAATAGTTGCCAAATTATTTTTTAAAAATTAATAAGTATATTATTTGTGAGGTTCACATATGTTTTTGCTCTGCTTTTTTTTTTAAAGTTGAGTTATTGTTGACATATAATAAACTGGACTTTTAAAGTATACAATCTGATAAGTTTTGACATATGTATACACATAAAACCATCACCACAGTCAAGTTAGTGAACAATTCCATCACTTCCCAAAACAGGTCATGAACCTTTATAATCCTTCCCATTCCTAAGTGATTGCTGGTATTTTCTGTCACCATAGATTAGTTTGCATTCTCAAGAATTTTCCATAAATGTAATCATACAATATGTATTCTTTTTAAACATTTTATTATCTAAATAAAATTATATCTAATAATTCATAACTCTAAAATATATCCATTTAAAATATACAATTCAATGGCTCTGATTTTATTTACAGAGTTGTGCAATCACTACATCTATATTTAGAATATTTTCATCCCTCTCCCAAAGAAACACCATACCCATAATCAGTCATTCCACATTTCCCTCCCAATCCCTCAGCCCTAGTCAACCAGTAATCTGCTTTCTGTCTGTATAGATTTGCCTACTCTGGACCTCTCAAATAAATTAAATCATATAATATATGAATATATATGGCTGGCTCCTTTCATGTAACACAATGTTTACAAGGTTCATCCATGTTGCAATATGTATTGGTACTTCATTCCTTTTTATTGTTGAATAATTAAAATTCAATGATATTGGCAATCCACATTTCATTTATCCATTCATCAGTTCATGGGCATCTGGGTCATTTACCTTTTGGCTATCGTGAACAATGCTGTTATGAACACTCATGTGCAAACTTTTATATAAGTGTGTTTTCAGTTCCCTTGGGCATATGCCCAGGGGTAGAATTGCTGGGTTATCTGGTAACTAAGTTAAACATTTTGAGGAACTGTTTCCCAGCTACACTATGTTCCATTCCCAACAGCAGTATATGAGAGTTCCCAATACCTTGTTTTGCTTTGTTGAGAGAGAGAGAGAGAGAGCGAGAGAGAGCACGAGAGCGCACAAGTAGGGGAGAGGGGCAAAAGGAGAGAGAGAGAATCTTAAGCAGCCTCCAGGGGCCCATCATGGTGCTCAATCCCATGACCCTGGGACCTGAGCTGAAATCGAGAGTTGGACACTTAAGTGACTGAGCCACCCAGGTGCCCCATCTGTCTTTTTGATTACTGCCATCCTAGTGAGTGAGAGTTGCTATCTCATTGTAGTTTTGATGTGCATTTCCTGATGGCTAATGATGCTGAGCATCCTTTCATGTGGTTATTGGTCATTCTTATCTATGCTTTGGAGAAAATGTGCATTAAAATCTTGCCTGTTTCTCAGTTGGGTTGTTTGTCTTTTTATTATGGAGTTGTAAATGTTCTTTATATATTCTGGATACAAATCCTTTATCAGATATATCATTTGCAAGTATTTTCTCACACCATGTCAATTTCTTTTCATTTTCTTGATGGCATTATTTGCAGCATAAAAGTGTTTAGTTTTGGCATAGTCTACTTTGTCTATATTTTTTTCTGTATTCTTTTCTGACTAGTTTCTTACCCTCTGCATAATTGAGATTCATCCATATTGTTCGTTATAAATACCTCATTCCTCTTTTCAAGAAAAAAAATAGCATTTTATTATGAAATAAATATAAATTCACAGAAAGCTGTAAAGATATAGTACAGAGAGCTCTTGTATACCCCTCACCCAGTTTCTCCACTGGTGAAATCTTATGGAACTAGACAACAATGTCAAAACCAGAAGATTTACACTGCTATGAAGTATCCGTAGAATTCTGTGTCATTTTATCACACATGTAGGTGCATGTAACCAGCACCACACAGAATACAAAAACTCTCCCATCACTGCAGAGACCTCTCTTGTGCTCCCTCTTCAGCCACCAATAATCTCTTTTCCTTTTTTATAATTCTGCCATTTCAAAAACATTATATAAATGGAATCATGTACGTGACTTTTTGAGATTGGCCTTAGCAAAATGCCCTTGAGATGCGTCCATGTTGTTGCACATAGCAATGGTTCCTTCCATTTTATTGATGAATGCCATCCCATTGCATGGAAAGGCCACAATAATTTCTTTCAAATGATCTTACTCAGACTTAGTCAAAAACTTAAGGGAAAAATAAGAGAGAAAGCATGGATATGGATGTGAGGGAAGGAAATTTTCAGTTAATTTGTCCACCAGGGCTAGATATGACTGCCTAAGAAACTGAGAATCAAGTTCCACCTGAAAAGAACTACAAATTAGGTTGGGAAGGAAAAAGTGCTGCCAGCTCTAGAAAGGTACCAGAGAGTGATATCAATCTGAACAAGGAAGCCAGATAAAAGCAAAAGTAGTCAAAGCCTGAATAATGCAGACACAGCCTTTATAAGCTCATAAATAACCTCATACACAACAGGGTCAAGTCTCCTGCTTCCTGCCTCCTGCATCACTGAGTAGGCTCAAAACCGGCCTCTCAGGGCCTGGGCTAGCTGCCTTGCTCCCAGTGAGTCTGAGTCTAACTTAATAAGCCTGTATGGCAGTCCCGGCTCAGCTCTGTTTTCTGGCCCACAATGAACCAAAAGGCATGCATGAAGAGTAAGAGTTGCCTTTCTCGGGATGGTTGCTAGAAAATTAATTTAATTTTGAGCTTAAAAATATAGTTACACCAAATCAATATGGTAAGAATAGCTCTCTTGTCCATGATTTGAGAACAAGGCGCAGGTCTGAGACACCAGTGTGCTGGCCAATTAAGGCAACAATGCCACATCTATCATTTACAGCCCAGGGCTGCTCTCATGCCAGTCTGCTTCTGAGACATTCTAGAAGGCTGAAGGTCCTCAGGAGGGCCTTATTCAATTATTATTACTATCAGAAACATTATTACTATTAAAAATGGATAATTCTGCTCTCAATGCCCCTTTTCTAATTTTATGAAGTGAGGTTATACATTTTTCATGCACACATTTTATTTATTAATATCTCTATATAAAGCATTATGCCTTACATACTCAGAGCCTAACTGTGAAAGATGGTATCTAAGTCCTGTTTTCACTTGAATAGATATATGATTGTGATGTAGGAAGAGATGGGATGTGGGAAGAGAGGGAGATTGGAATGTCTCTGCATAAAAGAACCTCACAGCTCAGAGAGTGCTGTGGATGACTCTGAATGTGATTTAGTTGGGTCCCTCAATGGTGGGAAAGACCTTTCCCAATCCCAAAGCAAAATGCTGATTTGGGTAAGAGCAGGTTTCTTTCCCTCTTTGAGCAGTTTTATTTTTTAAGTTTCTTTATTTTGGGGGGGGGGGGAGAGAGAGAGAGAAAGAGAGAACATGTGTGTGGTGAGCAGGGGAGGGGCACAGAGAGGGAGACAGAGAGAATCCCAAGCAGACTCCATGCTGTCAGCACTGAGCCCAACTCAGGGCTTAATCTCACAAACAATGAGATGGCGACTTGAGCTGCAGTCAAGAGTCAGACACTTAACCAACTGAGCCACCCAGGTGCCCTGTCTTTGAACAGTTTAGAGTTAACTCTGTATCATAGCAAGAGCCCTGGGTCCCACCCAAGGAAATAAAAACACAGTATTCTCTGGCCCTTAATTACAACTTGCTGCATGGAATTTAGGGGAAGGGTGGCAAAAATTTTTGTTTCTTCTTTTTAAATTTTCATGTTTATTTTTGTATTCATACACACATACATAGTCAAAAGAGTTAAGTGTTCAAAACATCTTTTAAAATATTTACTCTCCTAGACCCTTCTTTTCACCCACTTTCCCATTGTGCAGAAGCACCCATTTTTTTCCAGTTTTTAAAATTTTTTGTTTGTTTTATTTATTTTTGAGACAGAGGCAGAGCACGAGTGGGGGAGGGACAGAGAGAGAGGGAGACACAGAATCTGAAACAAGCTTGAGGCTCCAAGCTGTCAGCACAGAACCCGATGTGAGGCTCGAACCCACGAACCGCGAGATCATGACCTGAGCTGAAGTCGGACGCTCAACCGACTGAGCAACCCAGGAGCCCCTCATGTCTGGCTTTTGATTATCGACATTCTTGTGTGTGCCAAGTGTATCATGTGGTTTTGATTTACATTTCTGTAATGACTCATGACGTTGA